GAGTCTGAAGCAATGAAAACGGCCTATAGATTGAGAATGGAAATAAAGACTAGGACAAGTCCTAGAAATTTGCATGATGATGCCCTAACAAATCTTTTCAATATTGACAAGATTTTGGGGGCTCCTTCTGACAAACTAATTACGACCTCCTACAATTTCGATAGGAGTTTCGAGATTATTATAACAAAAAGTCTCAATGAATTCTTCCAGCAAAAACAATGGGCACAAAACTCCTTTTTCACTGATGGTTCAGTCAGAGAAACAGGTAGTGGATGCGGCTTCTACTGTGAAGCAGAGAACCTCACCTATTCATTTCCCCTGGGACAAACAACAACAGTCAAACAGGCGGAAATATCTGGAATTATTCATTGTGCATACAAAATACTGGGGGACCCAGTACGGGGAAATATAGCTATCTTCACAGATAGTTTGGGAGCCATAACTGATCTTAAGAATATTAAGATGCAAAATGGCTTGGCTATGAACTGTTACGAGGCACTCCAGCGCATTTCTGAAACGAACAACCTTAGGGTGGTTTGGATCAAATCTCATACTGGTATTCGGGGGCATGACCTGGCAGACGGGGCGGCAAAATTGGCTGCACACGATGCAATAGAGGGTCCAGAACCATACATACCAATTGAATATTCACGAGTCAAGAACCGATTAGCTACTTGGCTTAGCAACAGATCCCGCCTAAATTGGCAGGGTACGTTCTCATGTGAGCAAACGAAACACTTCGTTCAATTCACATGTTCAAAACTCACGGTGGAATTAGCCAAATTGCCCAAGGAAGAACTCCGGATGGTAATTGGTTTACTTACCGGGCACGCCAGGGTCAATTCTCATATGAGAAATCTAAATCTCAGAGACGACCCGGACTGTAGACTGTGTGGTGGAGAAGGGGAAACCACTGCCCACCTCATAGATAGATGTCCAATGTTGGATACCATACGGGCTGACTTCACGGGCTGGAGATCCTACCCTTTGATTCATGCACCGAGTGTATTCAAATTGGTAACGTTTTTCAAACGGGCATGCGATGACAATCCATGCCTTAGAAACATTTTTGGATAAAAGACTATTCTCGTGTATTCAATACACACACGGGCGTCTTGCAATAAGTTATGAAACTTGAGCAACGAGTAACTATATTAAAATTTACTGTTTAAATAGGACACTCCCCGTTTTAATCCAATAATCCAATAATCCAAGTTTTGAATATTTTGAGTATTGAATACAAAAAAAAAATTCGTTGAACAAATGACTTAATTTTTTTCATTTTTTAAGGTTCCTCAGTCGTTCACATTCACTCAAACATTTGATTTGTATTTCAAATTGCACAAAGTCCTCAATCAAAAGTTTGAGCCAAGTTTGACTAGTATGATGACATTTGCTCAGCATTCAATTTTTCATTTGCCGGAACATGGCCTCAATCCAACAACTCGAATGGATGAAGTTTCAAACATGCTCAAATGATTATCAATTAACGTCAACTTTTTTATCGACTGATTATTTTACATTTTTTTTTTTTTTTTTTTCATATTTCAAATCTCACTCTCTTGAATCCATAAATTCAAATCACACGTTATAAGACTGTAAATCCAATGGCGAATGTCGCCTAATTTAGTCAGATTTTGTGATATACATTTAATTAAATCGATGAAAATAATTTATCTCGCAATAATTTGATCCGATATTTATTAAATGAAAATAAACCTCCGTATTTATTCATCAAAAAATAATTTATGCAATAAAAATCGATAGTCCAATTATTTTGAGTTCAATACAGCGTTTATTCCAATAAGTAACACAATCAAATATCTCGCCAAAGGTCCAAAGTTTCAGCAAAAACAAAAATGTCATCTTTAATGGTTTTAATTTCATGAGGTTTTTTAAATTTCAAATCTTCAAAAACGATTAGTATGTGGGTGAGAGGGGTACTTCTTTTCAAAACTAAACTGTTAGTGAATGAATCAAATTTTTTAAAATTCAAACTACAACAAAGAAAATAATATTTATCGTTCACAACTAGAATTCGGGTGATTTCATGAAATTTATCTTCATACAAAATTACAAAGTTTTTTCTGAACGTGAAGTTATTGTACTTGAACCATTCAATTTCACACAATGATTCGTGATTTACAATTTCGTTTGTGATTAGATTTTGTTCTAATTCACTAAACGACAAAATGTTTTTATGAGATATTTTTCCGCAATCAATGTCATCACAGTACGTAAAACCTCGAAAAACGAGTTCCGCTTGACTTCGAACTGAAATTGATTTCGTTATATTTATGAAATTTTTGCCGCGATTAGCTATATTTTTTAGAGACTTGTGCTTGCTTTCATATCTCATCATGCTCATATAGCATACAGGACCCATTTCACGAATTATACTGGGGTAGTGAGTCAAAATGTGGTGTTTAGGAATTAGTTCAACATCAAATATTTTCAAAATATTCTGTAAATGCATTGACACATATTTTTGAAGTTTTTCAATGTCCGTCTCACGAATCTCTGTTGAATAGCACACTTGCACAACTTTTTGTAATGATTCAACACAAATCCAGGCTTTTTTAAAATCGAATTTTCCTTTTTGTGATATAAAATAAATCCAATGTTTCGAAATAAACACAAAAGTTGAGATGCGTTTTGATTGAGATTATCTTTTTTCATATTTAAAAGTGAAGGTAAATTTCTGCCATAAGGACCAAAATTAAAGAACTGGATTTTTTTTGTAGCCACTCTTCACTAAATAACTTTTTTAAAATGCAATATTGAAACAAATTTTTCAGTAAAAACGGAATGCAGCCCTCATTAAGGTCGTGCATGACATCGACAGTTTTATTTCAGCATATGAAAATAGCCCAGTCTATTTAAAGCGCAGCTTCTCTTGATACCTTTTGTTTCTGCGAAATTAACTTTTTCTGATTCATTTACGATTTGTAGATGGTTTTCATAGTTTTCAATCGTACGAAGCTTAGAAATATCTTCCATTACCATCGTTTGCGTTTCCTTTTTGCTTGATGTACAGAAACGGCAAAAATATGAATTAAAACTTTCAACAAGTCCGAGTACTGTGTTTCCGCCAAGATTATCGAATCCCAGATTTGCTATGGTGCCTTTGATATTGGTGTTTGCATCGATGTTAATTCCGGTCTGTTCGAGTTCACGAATTTCACAAAGAATGTGCTCCCATAAATCATTGAAATCTGTTTCTTTCGTTTTCAAGTCATCAGAACGGCACTAAGCAACCAAATATATATTCGATAATTTGGATGAAAACTGACTAGGAACGTTCTTAATTGTGAAGTAGATAGGACACATTTTATGCACGCCAAATTTGGAGCCAAGAGCGTCACATATTTCGAAGTCATCGGTCGCGATTTGCAGTTGAAGGGCATGCGGTTGAGAAACAAATAGATCGCAATTTTTGTACACACTGCCGCAACAAAAATGACTATATATTCCTTCGACACATTTATGACAATCTTCACCGGAATTATGTTGAAAATACATTTCTCTAAATTCTTTTTGATTGAAAAGCGATCGAAGAGTTCGTAAAATGGAGATATAATGAAATTTTGATTGTAGCAACCGAGGAATGGATGTGGTTTTTGTTTGTTCTCTAGTCATCTCCCAGTGTGTGCCTAGGGCCTTTTCTTTAGGTGCTACAAACAGTTCATTTGTATTTAGTTTTTGCTGTCGTTTGTAGGCTGATTGGTCTTCTGAAAGTTTGTTCTGAACGAATGTAAAAGCCAGATGTAACACATTGCTCTTGCCGTATTGATCATCGTGCAACAAATTCGAACAAAACTGAGAAAATTCATCGATTTAGCGAATACTTAATTTAAAAATTTGATCTGTTTGTTCATTTGTCAAAAACATTGCTTTGATTTTATTGGAATATTCCTCCAGAAATTTTGAAAGTTGAAATTTTTTTGATTTGATTTCATATTGATAGACAGTCGCTAGGGGGTAGACACAATAGAGAATGAATGAATACCAATGAATTGTCATAATACCTATCTATTTTCAAATACGACAATTACTTAATTATTTAAAGATTACTTGTATAGTCGTTTCCAATAAGATCTGTTACAGCGAAATGTCAAAAAATTCAAATAAAAACGTACTCATGTAAATGACATACTTTTTTATGGAGATGGTTGAATTTATTTTTGTCAAAAGATGTCGCTATATACTAAAAAGAGAGTCTAAGATGAAAACTCATGCGCCGTAAGAATAGTTTTTGTTTTGAAAATATGAAATTAATTTAGGAAAAGTTTTAATTTATAAAATAAAATATTTCAAATATATTATTATAAATATTTTTTCGGCAATTTTTTTACACTTTTTTTATTATCTCTGGTATAAGCGAAGCTCGTATTTCAAATGAGGTTTTTTGAAATTTTTTTCATTGACAAGTCTCGGTTGACGGCTCTTTGTTTACTAACCAGTGTATTTTGCTTCAATTATAAAACATTCAATAATGACTGATATTCGCTCACATTTGAACATTTAAGTGAAATAAAAACAGACCCATTTCTAGGTAATTTTGTGGCAAATCAATGAACCACTTCTACGATCAATAATAATTAAAAATTTGTTTTTTTTTTGTTTCGTATAGGATTCAGTTAAGCACAGCATGATTGGTGTTCAGATTTTGTCACAATTGACTTGCGAGATGAATCAGCTTTAGAAAGATGTCAACATATCATACATTAAACATAGGAAAATCGTTTATTTATTTCGAGACACACAATTGTATGACATTTATATTTTGTTTTGTTTTCAAGAGGATTTCTTGAGAATTATATGTGAGTGTTTGTAGCGTGGCTTGTCATTTTAACAATGATTTTGTGTATTCGATGTGGAATGGATATATTCACAGTTGATTTTGTGTTCATTTTTGTTTTAATTTCGAAATAACAGAGTGTTGATAAAATTTACTGTGAATATTCCAACAACATTTCGATCGGGAAAATATTTGATGTCACATTGGAAATAAATTTCATAATTCGATTTAGAATACAGAGTTCTTTGTTGAGGTAAGACGTGATATTTATAATGCGTTCTTCATTACTTTTTCATTTGATTTGTGATAGAAGTGTTTTTATCAAATTGTGTTTGTGAACTATGCTATATTTGGTGCATTTTTTCTAAATTTGTGTGTATTTTTTATTTTCGTTTATTTGTATCAGTTCTTCGAGAATGAAAAGAAAAAGAGATAACAACGATCGTTGCAATAAATGTGGATTGCAAACAATACTTCGACCAGAGCATGCAGCAGTTGTGACGCAAATATTGTTTGAGCGCAGTCTTCAAATGACGGAAGTTGCCTCAATGGCCTCACTTTTGATTTTATTCAAGGTGAATGAAGCACTCGATAATGAAGATCGTCAGTTCTTTTTGCGACGGAATCGTCGACAGTTCTTCTTCGATTGCTTCAATGCGGTATTGGCCGAAAATGTTTACAATTATAATAGCCGAAATCCCATACCGCCAGAGTTTCGGTTCATGGTCGAAAACTTCAGTGATGAACAGTTGGAATGGCCAAGCAAGGAAAAGTTGGAGAATGGTTTTCGTTATTTTGTCAAATAGCACATCGCAAATACGAAAACTGGTCTCACCACTTGGTGTGAAGATCGACTTGAGTCATTCTTTCGAATGCGATGCTGGTATCGCAATCACAACATCTATGGACCGAGATTTGATGGCATCGACATCAGAAATGCCAAAATGTAAGCATATCGATCCAACGACTTGAGAAATGGTAATGTGGAAAGAATGAAAAAGGCCAACATTTTATTGGATGATCTGGTCGCAATTGGATGGCGACGCGAAAAATGCATGAAATTTTTTGTAAAAGATCATTGGTTTGAATCGTTGTGGTTGTTCGGACAAATTCAACGTCAAATAGCAGCTTATCACAGTGATGCCGCACAATGGAGTACCAGTCATGAAATATTTCGTGACAATCCAAACTTTCAACAGCCAACAAACAATCGACCACGGAAAATAAACAGTTTTGCTCTTTTACCGTTATGCGATTATCATTTGAAGTGCGTGCGTATAACAAATTGGCAAGCAAGCTAAAAGTGGTGCCCAGATTCCTGAATACTGGGACCAACCGGCTAAAAAAATACCCCGAAAAATACTACAGAGAGCATGATCGAGATGGACTATGGAATTTGTTGTTCGACGTCGATAAAATCAAGCAATTGGGCAAAGGATCCAAACAATTCCATCATCAAATCGTGACCGCCACTGTTCCGTATCGGCAATGTACACCAAACTAGAGCAGACGTGCAACGAAAATGTGCATTTACAGGCGGACAATCTTGTAGGCAAGAAATACGTTATTGGCATCGATCCGAATGAAAAAACGTGGTTGGCTATAACGCGTCGCAACATCCGGAAAACACCTAATGAACCGGCCGTTGAGGTGAGATATTTTGAAATATAACTTGAAATTTGTTTGAATCGAAACTAATTGTTTCTATGATTTTGAATTTTGAAGGAAAACATCACAATACCAAACACGCGATTCTACTGGAAAACTCGGCAGAAACGAAGAGAAAAAGAGGCGAAAAAATTAGTTGGATGGTTTGATATCGAAGAAAAGGATCATCTGAAGACATACCCATTCGGTCCACCATCACCGCGTAATTCAACATGGAAATGGTACATTGAGTATCGCATCAAAATGCTACGAAAAGGAATGTCAGCATATGCTACGCGCAAATATTCACGACTGGATTTTGATCATTACATGAAGTCGAACCAGGTAAATGATAACATAGCCGTGACAGTGACCAACAACATGCCGTCAATAAATATCTTTGGTGCATCGGAGATGCCACCCAATCGGCCATTTGGTTTGAAGAGACGGAAAAGATATCAAGGATCTCGAAAATTGTTGGTGAGCGTCAAGAAACTTGGCCATACTCAGTCGCTAGTCCGGACTCAGTCGCTAGTCTACCAGATATAATTGTGACAACGGTTAGCAAACGTGCTTTGCAAGAGGGACGGAAGGAAATTAAGCGTCGAATTCGCAATGGCAATTATCAGGATGTGGAGGAAATACTTCGGAATGGGTGTTTAATGTCAAAGGTTAAATGTTCAGGATGGTGGTGCTGCTCCACAGACAGTTGTTTGGCACCGCGATATTGTTGCTGCAAAATTCATTATGCTCAAAGGTATGAATCAATTGAAAATAGAGTCTATTCATTGTTTAAAGTTTTTGCTTCTGTTTACACAGGACTTTGTCGGATGTTCGGCGTACTAGTGCCTGATTCGTTGAGAAAACCACCAAACAATGTCAACTGACAAGCAGCAGCACATACATAGTTCATGTGTTTCATTTCAGTTTCAGCTTTGATTTTCTTTTAATTGAAAAATATTTTTTTAAACCAATATTTCTGGACCGTATGTTTTTATTTGATAAAGAGATGAATTGTTTTGCTTGTATAAAAATCATGTAAATTCATATCGTGTATGTAATGTGTGTGAATGCCATTTTGCTCGGAGTGTCATGAACTTTAACTCTATTCACATCAAACAATTATCATTACAAAATTTACATAAATATAATAAATATTCTAAAAAACCGTCTAATTTTGTCTTTTGCTGCTGCTGATTTACACCACATGAACTTTTACATATACAATTGTATAAATATACATCGAATGACATATATCAATGTCAAACATACACTAGGTATATGCACACTGATGCACACCAAACGCACTAAATGTTGTATGATCGAAAGAGAAACCGAAACGAATTGAGACCATATTGTGTTTGAATAAATATAAAGTCGAAACAAATGGAATGAAGGAGGGTAGAAAATTTTAGTGTTTGCGATACACAAACAACAAGGGGGTGGACATGATTCAAATGATTCGATGTAATTCATTTGTGATTTGAATGATTTGAATCTATTTGACAAATGACTTTACAATACTAAAACAAAGCATAAAATTCTATATCAATATTTGTTTTTTTTAAGCAAGCAAAAACCTTTTTTTAATTAAAAAAATCAAGTAAAAAACATCCTTTATATTTCGTTTATAGTTAAAACACATTTCGAAAATATTAAATCTCTTTGTATTTTTATTCTTTAACTTGATATTTTTACTTTTCCGCACACACATAGTGTGAAAGGGGAAAGTATTGTAA